CCAACCTGCTGCACTTTGCAGTTGGCTGATAGATCTGTCAAGGTTCCTATAGGTTAGTTAGAGGATGTTCTGATTAAGGTTGGTGATTTCATTTTTTCAGTAGATTTCGTAGTCTTGGAAACACATCCCGTTTCTAATCCCAAAGGACAGACACATGTCATCTTAGGATGACCATTCTTAGCCACTTCAAATGCTCTCATCAACTGTAGAACTGGTCAAATAAAGCTGTCCTTTGGGAATTTGACTGCTGGTCTCAACATTTTTAATCCAGAGGACCAACCAAATAATCAGCCTCTAGAAATAAATTACATTCAGGAAAGATCAAAAGAAGAAGAAGAAGAAGAAGAAGAAGAGTCTGATTTGAGTTTTGAAGAAATTTTTGATGAAGGGTTGGAGTTTTTAGAAGAAGCAGATCAGGTCATTGAGAATGATGAAACTGTGTTAATTATTTGCTGCCTTGAATTAAATTTTGAAAAACTCTTTCTTGATGAACTTAGATTCTTGGAGAATAATCAACAACCAAATTTTCAGAACTTAACCATGAATCTTGAGGTTGAAGAAAATGCTACAGAAGAATTGGTTATTAGAAAACAAAAATTCACAGTACAAGAGTCTAAGTTTATTAAGAAATGCAAAATACATGACACCAATAATACATACATTACTTTGTTGCAAGAATTATTGAACACCCCGAAATGCTTGAAATTTCACATTATTGATTATATCATTCTAAATTTATTTAAAATCCGGGGAAGATTTTTTAACAATAAGGTAGGATTCAATGTAGAATACGAACTCTTCATGTTAAACCTTTCATTCTATATTGTTTGTTTTATTTTATTTTATTTTAGAATAATAAAACGAATTTATTCTTCTCTCATTCGAGAGTTTCTTATTCAGTTGTAAAAAAAGAGAGAGAGAAAAAAGAGAAAAAGAGAAAAAAAAGAAAAAGAAGAATAAATTTTGTCCATCCTTCTCAGACCAAAGCTAATTGTAGATTTTTATTAGTCAACCAAATATAAGTACTTCACTTCTTATCTGCTTTACTTTGTGCATCATAGAGTTTGTATTGAGGACAATGCAAAATTTAGGTGTGAGGGTGGGAATTAGTTATTTTTTCTCTTTATTTTACCTTTTTAGTTGCATTTTTTCCTTTTCCTTAAAAAAATTATAAAAATATTGTCACTTGTCAAATTGATAGAGTTATGTAATAATTGATTTATTTGATAAATTTTAAAATTTTCTAATCCCTAGTTTGTTATTTACTCAAGTTTACCTTTTATTATAACTCTAAATAAATTTCTTAAGAAATGATTTTCAAAGTTGTATACTTTACTTAAGCCTTAACTTAGATTTTTATTTAAAATAATGGAATTTATGCATGCTTAGCTTAGAGTTGAAAATAATTTTTCAAAGTGTCTTGATTTACATATTTTTTAGAATATATATACATATACATATTGAAAATAATAATAATAATAACATTACAAAAGAAGAGTGCGAAAAATAGGCACCAAAAGAAAGAAAAAAAGAAAAAAAAACTCTTGAATTTTAGGTGATTCTATCTTATAAAGCCTAAGCTGACCGAGTAATTAAGCCTAAGGAGTATTTCCAAACTTAATGACCTAAGCCCAATTGAGATGGGATCCATTGGCCCAAAACTCGTTAAATGGTCACTTAGAAAGCCCGTTAAAGTAGAAAAAAATCACCAAGGAAGAAAGAGTTAAAAATAAAAATAATAAATAAATAAAATAAAATAAAATAAAATAAAATAAAAAAATAAAAATAAAAAAAACTAATAAATGTTTGTATATATGGTCTTGAAAAATATTTTAGATCAAGCAACTTAAAAATTATTTAAAACAAAGAGTTAGCATGTTCTTTTCACAACTTTTAAATTAAATTTCTAACTTTGGCTTAGTTTTGTATTTCTATAATGAGAAGATTTTCTAGAAAATTTACCTTAGAGTTATTTATAAAAACATTTTCTTGAGTAATAACTAGCTTTAATTAGATTGTCTAAAATTATCAAGTAAATTGAGTTATTCACTGACTTCTTTAATTTGGCAAGTTGACCGAATTTTATGGGTATATTCACTGCAAACCCTCACGAGACTACAACTCGTCCACTAGGGTAACCTAGGGGTTTAAAGGCTTGTTGTATGCTCTAAATACAACCGCGATTCCTATGAAAGTGAATTAGGATTTTCTTTTTCTTTCTTTGCTAGAGGACTAGCAAAAGTTTAGATGTGGGAGTATTTGATAATCACATTTTATTATAATTTTATACCCTTATTATCTATTTTTAATGAATAAATATACCACTAATAATTATTTTTATCTTTAATTGCAAGTTAATAAAGAAATAATAAATAAATACCCAAAAGAATCCAACTTCCTTATTTTTGTAATATTTTATTGAAGCCTAGAATCAAGCCGAATAGCCTGTAGAAGCCGAAGAAAATAAAAAAAATCCAATATAAAGAGAAATTATATTCAAGATGGTTGTCTGTAAAGAAACGACGATATCTCCCAATCCGGAAGGCGGAATTTAACATATAATATATAAAAATCGCCTATCTCGACGAGATAAAGTCAACCCTGAAGTCAAAATTTTTATTAGAGTATCAATGCTAGCATCGATACGGGCATCGATGCCCGTATCGATGCCAAGTCGTCCAAAATTCATCAACGGCCGAAATTGTATTCTTGGGGCTTAAGTTTGATCCAAAGGCTCTCATTCACTGATGTTTACTATAAATAGGGGTAGAGAGTGAGGGGTTAGAGTGTGAAAATTTTTGTAACTCTATTTGGAGAGGAGAGCCACTCTTAATTGAGAAGGCCTTCCAAATTTGTAATTTTTTGTTACAATTAATAAAAGAATTTTTTTCATCACTTTAAAATTTTCTTTTCTTCTTTTTGTTGGATGATGAAGATGGAGATGGAGATTAATTTGAAGGTTTGTTTTTATTTTCTCTTTTATTTCTTTTTATTGCTTATTAGCTTAGATTTATTTTCATACTTGTAGTTAGATTTTATTTTCTTGCTTAAATAGCCAAGGGGCTAGAACCCTCTTGTCTTAGATTTATTTCATGCTTATGGAGTAGATTTATTTTATGCTTATAGAGTAGATTTATTTTCTCATATTTAATTTTTATAATTTATTTTGTAGTTTAGTTTTTTGTAATTTATTTTATAGTTAGATTTTTTTTCTTACACTATTTACCTTGAGACTAGAACCCTCTTGGGATTATTTTTTTTTTACTTTTGTTCATTTTTTATTTTCTTTGATTCGCCTTGAGGCTAGAACCCTCTAGGGAATTATATTTTCTAAGAAGTGGATTCAATTCTAGATTTCTCATATCTTTAATTGAATCTTCCATCTTTATTTTCTTGAATTTTCTTTTTATTCTTGATTTTTCTTTTTGTTTCTTGATTTTTTTCATCTTTCTTTCTCTCCTTGTGAAAATCATTCATACTTTATCACACACACTCTCACTTACATTTTGTGCCTATTTACACACTATCACATTCACTATCTCTCCACAATCACATTCACTTATTCTTCACTCTTATTTGTCACGCACACAACATAAGAACCGATTTATATTTTCTCCTACAAAACTTATTTGTCACGCACACAACATAAGAACCGATTTATATTTTCTCCTACAAAACACCTTCCTCGTAGGATCGATAACTTTTTATAGAACCGATTTATATTTTCTCCTACAAAACACCTTCCTCGTAGGATCGATAACTTTTTATACTATAACTTGTCATGGCTGTATACTTACAACATTTTTTATACATGTTTATGCCACATCAGTTAAATATAGCATTCGTAGCCAGGACTATTCGGACTGTTGTAAGTCGAACTATAGGAGAAAATATTTTATTAAAGTCAATACATTCTTTCTGAGCATATCCTTTTACCACTAATCTAGCACGATATTGCTCTACTTGTTCATCACCATTTCGCTTGATTTTGTAGACCCATTTATTGCCAATGGTCTTTCTTCCTTGTGGTAGTAACATAAGTACCCAAGTTATGTTTTTATGGAGAGATTTAATTTCTTCATGCATTGCTTTCATCCACAAAGATTCATCTGTGTCATTTATAGCTTCATGGAAAGTTGATGGCTCTCTATCCTCCGTTAAAAGACAATGTGCAACATTACTCTCCATAATATACTCTGAGTGCCAAGTTGGTGGTCTTCTCTCACGAGTTGACCTTCGAATTTCTGGAGTCTCGGACTCGACTGGTTCTTGTACATCATGCTCATGCTCCGGTGTTTCTTTAGAAGAATTCAGATTATCTTCTACCTGAAAAGCTATAGTCTCTGAGTCCTTCCTTGAACTGCTTTCTCTCTCTTCACTTTGTAGTTGGTTCTCTATAAAGATAACATCTCTGCTAATGATAACCTTGCGGGCAGTGGGATCCCACATGTGATACCCCTTTACTCCATCAGCATACCCCAAGAATAAGTATTTTCTGGATTTTGAATCCATCTTTGTAATTTCTTGGGCATTGTACATTACATATACTGGACTTTTAAATATATTGAGGTTAGAATAATTAGCTGGCTTGCCAGTCCACATCTCCATCGGCGTCTTCAACTGTATTGCGGTTGATGGAGATCGATTCACTATATAACATGTGGTTTTTACTGCTTCCATCCAGAAGACTTTATCCAGATTTACAGTTGCTAACATAGCTCTTGTTCTTTCCAACAGAGTTCTGTTCATTCTCTCTGCCACTCCATTTTGTTGAGGAGTATAAGCCGTACTGAATTATCTTTTGATGCCTTCATGCTTGCAGAATGCTAGGAATTTACCGTCTGTGTATTCTCCTCCATTATCTGACCTCAAGCACTTGATCTTCTTCTCAGATTCAAGCTCGATCCGCGCTTTGTAGGTTTTAAAGACTGAGTACACATCCGCCTTCTTCTTGATAGGATACACCTAACATCTCCTTAGTCATCAATAAAGGAAACAAATTACTTTCCTCCTCCCAAGGATGTAACCGGTGCTTGCCATACATCAGAATGAACCAGTTCCAGAATAGCCTTGCTTCTAGAACCTGATGTGTTAAACTTCATCCGATGCTGCTTACTTGTAACACAATGCTTGCAGAATGGAAGAGCTACCGAATTAAGTCTAGGAAGCAGCTTCTGATCCGAGAGAATCTTCAAGCCTCGTTCTGACATGTGACCTAGTTTGCGATGCCATATCATGGTTTGTTCTTCTCCACGGCTGGTTGACACCACACATAAATCAGCTTCCTGCAGGGTTTCTCCCTTGAGCATATATAGATTTGCAGGTATTTTTTCTCCTTTTATTACCACAAACGTCCCTCTAACAATCTTCATGATCCTATTTTCTATATGGGTTTTACACCCGAGCTCATCTATTTGTCCCAAAGACAATAGATTATTCTTCAAGCCATTCACATGTCATACATCTTGAATGGTGTGTATTGTACCATCAAACATTTTGATTTTAATAATGCCAATACCAGAAATCTCCAAGGCATGATCATTCCCCATGAATACGGATCCTCCTGAGATAGGTTCATATTTGTGAAACCATTCTCTCCGGGAGGTCATGTGCCAGGAGGCTGCTGAATCAAGAAACCAGACATCAACAAACCTCATTCTGCCTTCATCAACAGTAATTGCTCCACTGAATAGAATTTCACCATCATCTGATGTGCTGACAACACATCCTTGAGATGTTGATGGCTCTGAAGCCTTTGAATAGAATTTCACCATCATCTGATGTGCTGACAACACATCCTTGAGATGTTGATGGCTCTGAAGCCTTTTTATCTCCACTCTTCTTAACACATCCTTGAGATGTTGATGGCTCTGAAGCCTTTTTATCTCCACTCTTCTTATTGTGCCAACACTCTGGTTTGACGTGCCCGCTTTTGCCATAGTTGTAGCATTTGATATTATTCTTACTTCTTGATTTGGATCTACCATGGGTATGACTCCCACTGGATCCACGTACTGTTGATCTTCCTCTCGTAACCGATAAGGCCTCCACTTGTTGTGAACTTGTCTGCCTGTCTTCCTTTTTCTTGCGCTGATTTTCTTCCTCCAGAATAGCGGCTGCAACATCGTTGAAGACTAGATTGTCTGTGAGAATGTTGTTTGTCAGGTTGATGATGAGTTGATCATACGAGTCAGGTAGACTCTGAAGAAGAAGTTCTGCACGTTCATTCGTACCAACTGTATACCCTAACGTTGTGAGTTGGGAGAATAATGTGTTTAGGGTGTTGATATGGTCGTTCATCGATGTAGATTCCGCCATCCTAAGAGTGTAAAGTCTCCTTTTAAGAAGATTTTATTGTGCATAGATTTCGCCTCATATAGATTTGTTAGAGTATCCTAGATCTCCCTTGCTATCTTCTTCTCCTCTATACTTGATAGTACCCCGTCTGCTAATGCTAGATGAAGATTTGCAATAGCATTTTCGTCCATCTCGTTCCATTTTTTATCATCTGTGATGTCATCCGGCCTTGCACCGATGGTCACCAGACAATTATATTTTCTCAAGATAGCCTTTATCTTCAACTTCCACAGTGAGAAATTACTCTCGTCGAATTTCTCGATCTTGAACTTTGCCGTCATTGCTTCTACCACAAACAGTAACTTCTTACTATCTTAGGTAAACAGTAACTGTATTTATGAACAGTAACCTTATTTGTGAATAGTACCGTACTTGTGAATAGTACCATACTTATGAACAGTACCGTACTCGTGAATAGTTCCCGTCACCTTCGAAGGGTAAATAATAATCTAACTTATTTTCTGATGTGGAGAATCCACATTTGGTGGCAGCTACAGAGCATACGATAAGTAGATATATACAAGCACCCTAAGTTAGCTCTGATACCACTTGTTGGGACAAACCCGGGGCCCAATAGAGCATGGTCATTGCAATAGTAGAGCAAAAATAGAGATAAAATAATAGACATACAGATTTACGTGGTTTGGTACTTGATTACCTACGTTCACGGGCAACGATAGAAGAATCTACTATGAGGAGAAAACTCTGGAGTTACAATCTCTCTTAACAAGCAGATACTCTCTTTATTTTTTCTCTCTTACTCTTCTACAAGAGAAGTTGTTTCTGGGATGAGTTTTCCCTTAAGGATTTGGAGCATATTTATAGTTTTTAAAAAATACTATGTATAATAAAATAATAATATTTTACTATGCTATGGGGCCGTCCTTTTTGTTTTCTTTTCATTTGTCAAAAGTTTTCGCTGGGCTTGACTTTATTAGGCACCTGCTGCTGACACTTTTTAGGGCCTGTAATCGTAGGAGATAGTGGGCGGTTAAAAACCCTTAACGACAAATAGCAGATTAAAAATGTTGAAAATTGCTTTATCATATCATATTCAAATTCTCCCAAGGGAGGAATTGGAGTTATTATTCTTGAGGTTCAAGACATCAATTACTCAACAAATAATAAATTGTTATCCCTTGAACCTCACAAGGAAAATTAATTGAACTGTATGCATGATACCTAAAGTCTTTTTTTTTGGATGAGAAATAATTAATAGATAATTGAACTTGAATTTCTTATAAAAGCATTAGTGAACAACTTCAAAAGGAAGAATTAAAGGATAAAGTAACCTTGAGCTAGAACTGGCTACAGGTTCGATCAACAAAGGCAAATAAAACATCATTCTCAAAGATGTAGAATTTTAATATAGAGAGCTAATTGTATATGATGAAAATGTTAGATCTAAAAGGGAGATCTAATCCATAAAACCATGATTAATTCAAAGAGAATAAACACAACAGTGAGCGGAAGCAATACCTGAATCCATGAAGAATTTGCACGGATCTGAATTAGGATTTGATCTTCTAATCTTGAGAGTCTCTCCTTTAGAATCTCTTTAGATGAGGATTAAAAGAATAGAGAATGTAACCCTAGATTAGGGACCATAACCCCTTATTTATAGTTGTTGTACTTTTATAATTTGGCTCATTATCAAATTATAATTACAACCTAGTAGCTACAAATTTAGCACATGATTTATTTAAATATCCATTAACCCAAATTTATTGATCATTTTATGCAGGTTAACCTTAAAGATAACATTATATATTAATGTAACATATATGCCCATAATTAGATTTAATCCAATAATCTCCCACTGGGGCACTATATGTTTCATAAAAAAAATATGTACAACCTTATGAGCTCAGAAATTGCTATCACAAATAAGGGTATTTCCAAACAATCTCGTCCATCGACAATATCAATATAGGATCAAAGCGGCCTTCGTCACATTTATCGTGACTAAACCCATCAATGGTCAAATATACCAATACAACCAAATGACATAGATTAATCATGGATGTACAACATGAAAATTATATGCAGTGTGATCAGTACATGTCTATTTTTAACTGGTCCTACCTTAAACTTTAGTGAGGTCAAAACTAAACATAATGAAATAGAGTGTCTTAATGAATACTTTATTCTAATCAGACAATACAACCAAATACAAAGCACCAGAAAATTACAAACTCTCACTAAATCATGATGTCCTCGAATAACACCACACCCATATGAGCAGTGTGCTCATGAAAAACCTTGGGTGGCAATCCTTTAGTAAGAGGATCTGCTATCATGGAGTTTGTCCCAATGTGCTCTATGGATATTTATCCACTCTGTACCATTTCTTTCACAACCAGAAACTTAATGTCAATATGTTTTGACATAGTTGAGCTCCTATTGTTATTCGAATACATAACTGCAGATTTATTATCACAAAATAACCTTAGTGGCCTTTTAATATTTTCTAAAATATGCAGTCCAGTGATAAAATTTTGCAACCATATTCCATGATTTGATACCTCGTAGCAAGCTACAAACTTTGCTGCCATAGTAGAGGAAACTACGAGTGTCTGTTTAACACTTTTCTATGATATAGCTCCTCCTGCTAACATATAAATGTAGCCTGATGTAGACTTTCTGCTATCTTGGCATCCAGCAAAATCAGAATCAGAATACCTAATGACCTTCAACTATTCTGATTTTCTGTACGTGAGCATATAATCTTTTGTTTTCTAAAGATACCTCATAAGCCTTTTGACTGCTATCTAATGATCCATACCATGGTTGCTTAAGTATCTGCCTAACATCCTAACAATGTACGCAATATCCGGACGCGTACATACCTGAGCATACATTAAACTTCCTACAGCCGAACCATAAGGATTCTTCTATATTTCCTAAATTTTAAGGTTACCTTTAGGGCACTGATTTAGGCTAAACTCGTCTCCTTTAGCAACAGGGGTGTCACCTGGTCTATAATCTTACATGCCAAACCTTTCGAGTACTTTATCGATATAGTTCTTTTGTGATAGTCCAAGTATACCACGAGAACGATCTCGATGTGTCTGGATTCCTAATATAAAAGAGGCGTCCCCAAGATCTTTTATTTCAAAATTCTTTGATAGAAATCTCTTGGTTTCGTGTAACATGCCTATATCATTAGTGACAAGCAATATGTCATCGACATACAGAACCAAAAAAATATACTTACTCCCACTGAACTTATGATATATACAGTCATCAACAACATTCATCTCAAAACCGAACGAGATAATTATTTGTTGAAACTTATGATACCGTTGACGAGGAGCTTGCTTGAGTCCATAGATGAATTTTTTTAATTTGCAAACTATATTTTTTGGATCTCCTGACACAAAGTTTTCTGGTTGCACCATATAGATTATTTCATTAGTGTCTCCATTGAGAAACACAGTCTTAACATCCATCTGATGTAACTCAAGATCATAATGAGCAACAAGTGCCATGATTGTTCTGAAGGAGTCTTTCGATGAAACCAGAGAGAAAGTATCTGTATAATCAATGTCTTCCTTTTGAGTATAGACTTTAGCTACAAGACGTGCCTTATACCTCTTCACATTATCATTTGCATCACGCTTGGTTTTAAATATCCATTTATAACCAATTGGTTTTGCACCTTCTGGCAATGGGACAAGTTCCCAAACTTTATTGTCTTGCATAGACTTGTACTCTTCATTCATGGCATTAATCCATTTTTTAGAGTTAGAACTTTTCATGGCTTGAAGGAAGTTGATTGGATCATCTTCCATCATTTCATTATTTTCCTCATGTTCTTGGAGAAATACAATATAATCGTCCAGAATAGCATTTCTCTTTTCTCTCGTGGATCTCCGTAATGACACTGGTTCTTGAGGTTGTTGAGTTTGTTATTCTGGAACAAGGAGTTGTTCAACATTATTTTCTTGAGGTTTCAGATTTACTTCTTGATCAATAACAGGTATATGAACCTGAATATTGTCAAGAGTAACTGTATGGATTGGATCTGAAGCCAATTTCTCCTCAAAAGCAATGTCTCTAACCTTATTTCCCCCCCCCCCCAAACTCAACATCCTCAAAGAATGTTGATGTTCTCATCTCAAAAATATTCCTAAGTGTGGGATCATAAAACTTATAGCCCCTAGAGCGTTCAGAATACCCAATAAAGTAC